AAGTTGGCAGGGCCGTTCAATCTTGCGTCGTGCATAGTTCGGCTGGCGCTCGTCGTCCGCCCAGTAGTTTCGTTTAACTAAAGAGGCCGCAGGCCGAACGTTAAGCTTCCTACGAGCATAACTAATTATAGCTAGAAACGGCAAAGCTCATGGCGTTTCGGCCTGAGTGGCAACGCCAACTATCTTGGTGTTTTTATATGGAGCAAAAACGCAATTTAGCTTGGCGTTTTTTTTTGTTTGGAAATGGAGGCGTACCCCCGGCCTCTGCATCATGATGATGGCGTTTGAATGTTGAGAAAAAACGTGAGCTATCTCGGTGTTTTTATATGAAAAAGTAACGCCACGGACTATGGCATTGCTAAAAGGGTTAGATAGTAAAATACTTTTATGTCGATTTCATTTTGTGGCAATGATTGTTGAAAACGTAAGAACAGTGATTTCGGCCCAGAAATGACACGAGATGGGAGTCAGGGTGGACCCATTCCGGTATACGTCACCGGCGCTCGCCCCGACGGTCCAAAGGTGCCACAACATCAACGGCAAGGCCCCTGGTGCGGCCCCGACGACAGCGTCACGGGCCTTGCGAGTTACAACTGCTACTGTCATGCTCTTGCTGCCGATGGTGTCGTCTACCTTTGTTCAAATACTAAAAAGGATACCATGTTGCCTATAATGGAGTTCTAGAAAGTTGTTCAGATTTTATCAAACCCAGCTAAAGAAACGATCAGAGCAACTCCAAACGGCCGATCTAAACGGGCATCGATTTTGTTCGTTTTTTGTCCATTTAAGCCGCCAGTACACACGTCCGTGTCCATTTTTTCATATGGGTCGGCCGACATGCCCAATGAGACCCGACCCATTTTTTTGTCATGTCCGCCTCGGCGTTCCATCAAATATCTGATGGGCGACCTGTGCGAGCGGGACGAGCGAAGGCCACGGCGAGCACCGGCTGGCTAGCCTAGCAAATAGCAGCTACCATGCGATTGTGCATGCTCGCACGCAGCCACCGGACCGGCTAGCTACGCACACGGCCACCGAAGAGCGTCGTTGGTTTTCCAATCCTTTAGTTCAAGTATGCACAGAGCGCCGTTCAGCTCGTCTAAGTCGGTAAGCCACAAGATCTCCACATTTGGTGGGCTTCTGATATTCTTTTTCCATTCCTCACTCTCGAGGTCAAAGCAGAGCAAAGAGCCCTTGTCCCGCGGTTCCTCCGGCAAGAAGTACAATATACCATTGACCGCAGCAGTGTACTGGTTACGGGAGTTGTACTTGAGACACAATGGGCGTGCTTTCCTCCATCTCCACCCGTCACCGTCTCCTATCGTAAAGACCTCGCAAGTAGCGCGGGCTCTAAAGCGCACCAGCTTATACGTGCCAGATGGGATGGCACGACCGAAGCCACAGGCTTTGTCGCCTTCCAAACGGGCGACGAGCACCTTCATGGTGGCAAGGTCAATCACCCCGACGACACAAGGAGCGTCATGTAGATAGTCGATGCCACATACAACATCGTCCTCATATAACACCAGACGCATGCCCTGGCCGGGACGGGAGGCCACCACGAGAAACGGCCTGGCACGGGACTTGTGCGCGGCGAGGAAGGCCGGGTCGAAGAGAAGGGCGTGCCACTCCTTGGACACGCATCGGAACCGGCACACGGGCTTCTCAGGGGTCCTAGACAGGATGTCAGATACGAGCTCTTCTGGGAAGTAGACCGGCACCCGCATGTCGGCCGAACGGAGCCCGCGGCTGGTCAAGAAGGCGGCGCAACAGCGACGCGTTGATCGCCGTATGATTTGATCCGGCTTTGTTCCCGGCGAGTTCAGCCCCCGATCCCACTTTGGGTCCTCTTAAACCCTCGGATGGTTTTTGTGAAGAGATCGCCTAAGAAAGAAAGTGTTTGTCTAAAAAAAACAGCTACTCCTACACTACTGTGTTTAAAAAAACAAAACTGCAGTACACTTCTTTCTGGCTACTATTGCCGAACGCTGATGTTGCAGACCTGCGCATCAGCATCACCCTCATCATGTGCTCGATCGCGACTCGCAAGATTTGGTAATGTCAACATGGACGTGCTACCACGATTTCAGTTCAGACTCGGCGCACGGGAGCGGAAGCCACGCGATGGATCACACGCGGCCGTGGGGTCGCGGAGTGAGACCACTCACTGTCTCCTGCATCGCATCATCCATCATCACACAACCAGTAAATAGCACTGTAGCCAGACTGCAACGCATGAGCGACGGAGCGAACGGACCGAAACGTGTTTCCTTCGACGGCCGGCTATGTAACTATTCTTAATAAATGAGTCGAGGCAAAGTTTTTGTCTCCAGTTTGAAAGAAAAAACCAAGCCGAATCAAGATGAACATCCACTGGCTACTCCCTCCGACCCATAATATAAGATCGTTTCAGCTCCGAATCACGAGGACCACTGGACAACTATGACACAGATCCTCGCCCGACACAAACATTGCACATGGATAATATGTTTTTTTCCCCAATGTCACGTCCCATTCAATCAAAGCAATCCCAATACAAGTCCGAGGGATTTTTTTTACCTCAATGGCATTTCTGATCCTGCTTTTCACCTCCTGCCGGGACGAAGGGGGGGGGGAAGGGCATGGGCACGTCCCGCCCCCCTTCTTTCTCCTCCATCTCTTTGAAACAAGTCTTGAAGGAGGTGGTCGGCGCCTAGGGGTGACACCATAGGGTTTGTCACCTATACGCCCGAGTCATCTCCGATAGGGTGGACGAGGTACTGGCCTAGGCTATGTCTGGCGGTAATTTGAGGAGCAGGAAATGCGGTCGACACAACAACCGTTAGAAGTCACGGGATCCGACTCCAAACGGACAGACTGGGACACGGGCGTCAAGGCAACGTCCATGGCGTCGTTGGAATGAACTGGGGGCGACCTGAAGGGGCCATAGCTGGCGCTACGGTGAGGGAAAGGAGGCGCCCCAGCGCCCGACAAGAGCATCTGGAGGGGAAATGATGCTCGTGTCTCTGAACAGTTTTTGAGATGGAGCGTGCTACAAATATCCCCCGCATAGATGGAGGCTCACGGAGGAGAGTGGCGTTGCAGAGGTTTTGCCCAATAAAATATCAAGATATACTTAAAAGTTTCAAAAAAAATAAAAATTTATACAAATACATATGTCTGTTCGTCAAGTATGTAAAAAATTCATTAGGTAATTCGATTATTTGCATGCTACACAAAAAAGATAAATTTTTGGCCCAAAAACAACAAAGAAAAAAGCCCATTTTAATTTGCGTATTTATCTTTTTTGTACATTAAATGTGAACATATGTGTTCATGAAATTTTATATGTGTATACTACAAATATACATCCATGCATATACTTTTTTCAGATTTTTTTCATTATGTGGAAATAATATTTTCGATGAAAAATAATAAAGAGCTATATGGAGCTCGGCCTCTGTATGCATTTTTCGCTGACGGACTGCAAATCTAGGCTCTCAAATGCCCCCGGACATACAAAGCATGCAAACGAGGAAATTCTATGTAGATCAATTTATACTACCCTAATCCTCGTCAAAGGTGTCCACTATATCCGTGCCCGGCTCAAGTACATCAGCAGCCGCAACTTCAGCCCCTCCACCTCCGCGTCAAGTTCAACGAAAAACGCGTCGGTTGATGCATGTTCCTGCCGTATGGCATCTACATAGGCCTCATCCTGGATGACTCCGGGATGTCCTGCTGCTCCGTCATCTCCGCCGCTTGCGCGACCGCGAACTCCGCCATGGCGTCCTTCATGCCGAAGCCCGCAGCCGATGCCACCTCGTCCTTCTTCGAATCCGCCACCTCCATTGAAACCGGCTGCGGCTGCGACTCCTCTTGCTCCTCCGGCTCCGGCGAGTCCGAAGGCAGGCCGGCTGCGATGCGGGCGACGCACCTCGCCCGGATCTCCTCCTCAATCTGGAATCGGCGCTCCGGCGTGAGCATAGCGTATGTCATCTTCTTTTGTCGGGCCATGGCGAAGCTGGACGGCGTGGGAAGAGCGGCGGAGCCGGAGAGAGCTGGATGGGCTTGGGTTGGCGGCGCAGAGAAGGAGAAGATGAATGTGGCTAGGGTTGGAGGGCGCCGGCCGGCTTAAATAGCCGAATTTGGCTTCGGGCGGCGAGCCGGGGCGGCGCGACGTGGCGTTCACACCCCACTGGAGGAGACTCTCGTCGGACTGTTGGGTTTCCGGGCGATTCCGTATGCGATTACATCGTCAGTCTGACATGGCGGACAGGCCCGGTCGCGCACGCGCCTCACCATATCCGCCTCATATTGGGCTGAATACGAGGAGTGTCGCCCGTCTAGATCGATTTTTTTAAAAATTGGTCTTTAATTGGTCAGTATCCGGGCATGCGCGTCCAAGCGTTTGAGGAGGGATTTAGGGTGCCCGGGTGTAGATGCTCTTGCTCTTGCTCTTGCTCTTACTCTTGTTCTTCTCGACTAAAATCATAATAGGGTCGATTATTACGGCGATCGGCCAGACGACTCTGCTACAGTTACACCGAAGGTCACGCACGAATGTTCTATTTCCAGACTCAGGGCAATCAGCATCAGCATCATGATGCGTTCGATCGCGAGATTTCCTATAATGTCCACATGGATGTCAAACCATTTCAGACATGTCGCGCAGGAGTCAAAAGGCACATCCACAAAGATCACACACGTCCGGATTCGGAGCCACTCCTGTACCGCATCATCCATCAGCAGCAGTAACAAGAACTGTAGCCAGACGAAGCGAGAAACATGTAGCAAGCTACTCTAGCTCCGGCGGAATCAAGAAAATAATCAAGCAGCTAACCAAATCAAGATCCGCGCGCACGGGAAACGACCGGCCGGGACGCACATCGATCGATCTCCGGTTGTTCGATCTGGCATCGGATGAAAATCTTGAGTTCTTGGATCAATCTCCAGAGAATCAAACCGAGGGGGGCGGAGAATGAAATACTAGTATGGAAAGAAGGCTAATTAAGCAGCAGCTAGTCCTGGACAATGGCGGGGTAGGTGACGAGGCGGCGGGCGCAGGCGGTGCAGGCGAACCTGCGCTTGTTCTTGAGGCAGAGCGGCAGGAAGCAGAGCACCCACTTGGCCTCCACGTCCGTGGCCACCACCCCGCCGCCGCAGTACGGGCAGCTCCCCGGCGCCTTCTGCACGCCCACCACCTTCTCCTCCTTGCCGCACACCTTCGCCCCCGCCCGCGCCGCCCGCGCCGCCGCCCCCATCGACGCCGACGCCGACGCCGCCGACGACCCCTCCATGTCGACCCCTTCTCCCCCCTCGCCCGGCGCCGCAAATCGAAGGGTGCGGTGCTGGTCAGGAGCGCCGCTCTGCTCTCTTGGCTGGCTGGCTGGCTGGCTACAAGCCTGCAAGACGGATGGATATGCGGGCGCGGGGGCTTTAACGCCGGTGGCGAGGGCGAGTAACGCACTCACCAACACGCGAGCTACCTCTCCGGCTTTTGCTGCCGCTGCTGGTGCGGTTGGTTCACTGACACCCGGCCGTGGCAGTGGCCGCCAGCGCGCGCGCGCGCCCGCGTGGCGCCTACCGCGGGACGCCGCCCGTTAGCGGACGCTGTCATTTTGCTGGGGACCGGGACGAGCGCGGACACGGCGGCCAGGGGAGAGGACCCCGCTGCCTGGGCCAAATTTGGGCGAGTCACATGCATTTCACCGCGCCGTTGGGAGGTGAGATCCACCGGTGCCGGAGCTCCCCTCCCAGTGCTCCGTGACAAGAAAGCAGCTGCGCTAGTGCCTCAGGTAGGTACGTGCACGGTTCGTCTGGCTCACGGCGCACGCGCGTGCGCCGTGGCTTTTTTAACCTCGTCCGGCGGCCGCCGTTGGTGCGTGCGTGCGTCCGCAGGCGGCGCCGGTGGACGGGCGAATGATGTGGCCGGCTGACTCGAGAAACGCCTGCGGATGTGTCCCGACATTTGTGGTTTCTTTGGCGCAGGAAAGCTCTTGGCTTGTTCCGAGGAGGGGCGGCTCGATCGGCGCCCGGCGTCGCCGTGCACACAAGCGGAAACGGACGCCCGACGGGTCGCGGATGCGTCCGTCCATCCATGTATGTATCTGGACGCGTATGAAGCGTGAGTGCGTGCTGCGCACGGCCTTATCGCGCTGGGCTTACGTACAAGCTTCGGCATCATCACGCGTGTCTCGTGGTGCCGTTGGCGTCTTCTGTTCAATATTTGAGCAATTTTGTACTACTTACAAATTAGTTGGGAAATGCGATAAATAAAACGGATTAAACATGATGATCGAACGAACGAAAGTACTAGTACACATGATAAACATGTACACAAAAGTATTATATCTACCACTCCTTCTGTAAAAAATAATATAAGATTGTTTGGATCGCAAAGTAGTGATCTAAATGATCGCATATTTTTCAGAGAGGAAGTACCAAAAAAATCCATAAACAATCCCTAGCGCAAGGGATAAAAATTATGTACAACGTTGAAGAAGAAGGAGAATTCACGGCACCGCCAGAAGGCATGTCACCGAAGAGGCTTTCAGCATCGCTCAAGTTATCGTGCACAGATAGGTGATGGAGAATCCAGCAGTCCCGCAAAGAGCACTCCCGAAAACTGATTGCCTCTCTCATGTACATGATAGTAACTTAGTAAGAGACGTAGTTTCGAAGGCTTGCTATATCACTTCGTGGTGCTAACCGGAAAGCGAGATGAGAACAAGGTACGCGGTGAAGGCTCTGAAACTTATAGGTCGACGCATAAGTTTAAGTTGAAAGTCTCATGTTTGTGGCAGAGTAGAAACCTCATATAAACGAGATGAAACTACTTCCATAGGGAGATGAAGACAACCAGAGCCGGTTAGTGGTCCACTGTAGGGAGTGGAACCGCTTACGTCAGTTTAGATTCATCTGGAAATAGTGGAAAACATTTTGACCTTTTCTTGCGTGGCAGAAAGAAGGCAACATGTACACGTGGCATAGATCCTAACCCGACGCGGCTCGTCCACGAAACACGACATGCATGCGAGGTGTAGTGAGGCGGGGCGGGCCGCGGAGCAGGAGTACGAGTGTATGAAAACAATTTCTCTTGTGTTTAACAACAGAAAATTCATGCTTCTTGTGCTTAAGAGAAGTGGCAAAAGTTTTCAATGGAGGAGGAAGCACTAGCAATGATGCCTCTGAAAACAAACTTATCGCAACACACAATTAAAGTGCTCAAGTTTCTTGACAAGTGACTGTATCTCATGACTAAGCTCAACTGTTGGTCATCAATTATCTTATCCATGACATACAACTTGTTGCATGCGTCTGAGACCCCAAACTTGGCCTCGAGCGCATCCATATGAAAGGATCGATGATCTTATCACTAAGAACACTAAGAAGAACACCCCTCAAGAGCGTGTCGGTAGCCTAGAACATGGTAGTTATCCAAGCACGTACATTTGACATGGGTCCTAGCCCGTCTCGGCTTTGCACGTTCACAAAACACGATGTGCATGGAACATGGTAGTTATCCAAGCACGCACACGTGACATAGCTCCTAGCCTGACTTGGCTTGGCTCGTTCACAAAAACACGACGCACATGTGAGGCGAGGCGTGATGTGACGGCCGAAGAAGGAGCATGCATGTACATATGAGTCTAGCCTCTTCTCGAGCTCTTAATTAGTGGTGTCTAGAACAACCCAGCTTACATGTTAGCCTACCGCACCATCCACTATGGAGTGAGATTAAACTTTCCACTCTCTTGCCATGCACGAATGGGACGTGTGGGCTTCGGGGTTTATCCTAGGAACTATTGATGAATAATTAATGGGTTGGCCCAATAATTCAACATTTTATGCTCTCCACCCAAACTTTTTTTTGTACGGACAATGGAGAAATCTGTATTTTGAGGACCTCTTTGTTTCATAGGGTTTTCAAAACACAAATATAAGGGAAAATATGAATATAATGCATGCTATATTAAATCCTATGTGATTGGAAAACTACGGGGATTTGAATAAGACTTCATTTGGCTTCTTGGTTCGTAGGGTTCTAAAAACATAACAATAGAAAAAAAATGATAGGAAATGCATGTCAAATTTTTGATAAATACATGAATTCTATAATTTGGTTGTTTGGTTACAGGAATTGAAAAACACAAAAATCCTAATAAACATGGTCAAACTAAAGGCAAACCACATGAAAATGTATAGCTAGAATGTTATTATGCCAATAAGGCTCTTAGTCTCGTTCTTTGTGCATAAGAATTTGAAAAAAGATCCAAGGAGATGTTATTATCCCCATGTTTTTTCCTTTCAAACCGTGACCAAAGAACAAATTTCTTCATTTTTTTCCTTTGCCTCATTACTCTAAACCAAATGCAGGAATAGTATTATTTATCATAGGTAAAATCCTATTTCTACATTTTCCCTCTACTTTTCCTTCAAACCAAAAGAGCCCTAAAAGAGTGTTTGATGCCATAGGAATAATAAAGGAATTGCACGAAGATATTTGAGTGGTGGAGATTCTCCTTCAAAATAGAGTGTAAATCAATTGTTATGAGTTTTCCCTAAGGATTCCAATCCCACGAAGCAAGGATGGTATGTAGGAAAAATTCATAATGATCCAAACCCTACAAAATTACTATAATAATTTCTTTGAATCAAAAGAGCCCTTACTTTTTACATTACCAAGTTAATTTTTGTCAGATAAGTTTTCAATGGAGGAGGAAGCACTAGCAATGATGCCTCTGAAAACAAACTTATCTGGCAACATACAATTAAAGTGCTCAAATGTTCCCGTTGATAGTGACACGTATGTGGTTATTTTTGTCAATCTTGATGCTCCAAAACTCCGACCCCGGTCTTTAGTAGGCACTGTGTGTGTGATGGTGTGTGCGTGTGCATCTACATTGTACCCGATGTTTTTTCTAATATCCATGTTGTAAACCAAACACGTGGAGCTCATCATCGGCTGCTCGTCAGCCTTCTCGCCCATAGTCGGCTCATCCTCCGCCTTCGCTTCTTACATCCTCTCCAGCTGCTTCTGGCGCTCAGTAAGGCCTTCAAGTAGAGGTTGAGAGGAAGTTGGGAGGACAAAGATGAACCTGCGGCCGGGACAACGGTGTCAGTGAGAGGGGGCGTGGGTAGATAAGCTGTTAAATGGATGCAAAAGTATAAGAATACGTAACATGGTAAATGATTTTTAAAATAATAATTACCCGAGAAGCAATAGTAGTAAAAGTTAAAATTTCAAGAGAGACCAGTGGCATTAATTGACATAAACTTTTCTAGTACTGGTACTACTTTCTATTCCATTATTAAAAAAATGATTCGGACTAATAATATCCGAGTGAGCGAAGATCGGATTAAACAGAGCATGTGCACGCAGGATATTAGGTGGATAGTACCACACTACCACATACCTTGTGTTCCCGCAGTGTGAGCTGCAGACCATAATGGCTGCTCACCAGCAAAAAGGGCTTGCAGATCTCACCAATAAGCACGCACGTACGTACGTACTACGTACTACGTGTCGGCGGGGTTATTCATCATTCCAGTTCCGGCCCAGAGCTAATACTAGATCCAAGTTTCAACCGACACGTGCATGGGACCTTTGGCTTGTCCCATCCCTGCATCTCACCGTCCGGCGCAGTGACACGGGTCAACTATTTGGTTGAACTCGCGCGCTCATCCTGCGCACGGCCGGCCGCCCGGCCGGCCGAGAACAGTGCTGGCCAGTTGGGAACCGGCGGCGACCACACACGCGCGCGCACAGTCGAGGCGACGTGCATGGCGAACGAAGCTACTGTTCAGCGCGGACGGCTCTTTAAAAAGTTGATACGGTGGCACTGCTCACTGTTTTTATTTCCGAGAATACGACTGTTCACCGTCAGTACGTGGGCTACCACATGGGGTTTGTGGATTGTGATTGCTGACCTGGATTCCTGTTTGATTGATGAATTGTGTCGCTGCTCCTTTTTTTCGTTGTTGTGAGATAGTTAGAGCTGAGTAATTGTTGTGTCGAGATCATCCAGCAATGCAGGCCCACCACGGGCTAAACCTTGCGGCGAATGAGAGGTGATCGTCGAGGCGCCGGTAGGCAGCGCCTAGGGTTAGGGTTTCTCCTATGTGGGCGGTTCTCCTGCGGTGTAGAAGCTACGACATGTGTGGCCATGACACTAGCTAGTGGGTCTTCTCCTCTCCGCAGGGGATCTCAATGGAGGCGCGGGCGGGACAAGGTGTGACTACTCCGATGAAGACATCAACTCTGGAAAAAAATGATGGATGTGTGCACAAGCAGGATTCCCCAAGATCTCCGATTGATGGCAAATCTTTGGAGGAGGCTACAAACC